CTGCAACTGTCTCTGTTAGCTTCTTCCAATAAATGCTGTTCCAAATTATTATTATTATATAATGTGTGCTACATGTTATTCTAGCTGTAGTTTCTTCCTTGGTTAATTTTAATTTCTAAATGGAGAGAAGGTGAAGTTTCTTCTTCCTTTTTTGGCAGCTGGCCAGTAAGGGGATCCAAACCCTTGACCTTGGTGTTACCGGCACCAGACTGTAACCAACTGAGCTAACCAGCCAGCCTGAAGTTTCTTCTAATTTTATTGACTTATGGTTGAAGAATGCTGTCTATGTAGTTGATTCATTTGAGTTTGTTGAGATTTGCTTTGTGGTCTAATATGTGCTTGAAAGAATGTGTATTCTCTACCAGATGTATGCAGAAATCTACATACTTCCATTAGATCAAGCTTATTAACTGTGTAAAGTCTTTCTGCCCATGCTAAATTTTTATCCATTTAACCTACCAATTATTGAGAATATTGTATTAAAATTAGGCATTATGATTATGTACTCATGTGTGTCAAGTTTCCCCAAGAATTTTAATTTTTGCTTTATATATTTTGGATATATGTTGTTACATGTGTATAAGTTCAGAATTATTATATCTTTCAGATTAATTGTTCAATTTCTTCATTGTCAAATATATTTTATTTCTAATAAAATGTTTTGCCCTAAAGATTAATTTGGCAGATATTAGTATTAATGTAACTGCCAGCTTCTTTCTTGTTTAAAAAAAGTTATTGATTTGAGACCTTTTTAAAATATAGGTATTTGTAGCTATTAATTTCCTTCTAAGCACTGATTTAGCTTCATCACATAAGTTTTTGTTGTTGTACTATAGTTTTCATTCATTTCAAAGTGTTTTCCAATTTCCCTTGTGATTTCTTCTTTACCTAGTGGTTATTTAAGAATGTGTTGTTTGGGCCGGCCCAGTGGCGCACTGGAGAGTGCGCCGCTTGGGAGCGTGGCGGCACTCCCGCCAGCTGTTTATTTCTAATTTCATTCCATTGTGTTTGGAGAACATACTTTGAATGATTTTAATCCTTTAAAATGCATTATTTTATGGCCTCAAATGGCTTTTTTTCAAACATTTTCTGTCTTTTTTTAAAGTTTTGAAGTTTTCTTTACAGAGCTCTTAATTTTCTTAGTTAATTCTTAGATACTTTATGTTTTTATTGGGAGGTTCTTATTTTATCATGTTTCTTTTTTACTAGTGTTGAGAAATGCTATTAATTTTGTAGGTTGATCATATAGCTGGAAAATGTGCTGAAGTGTTATTCTAAGTTTGACTATTGATTTTGTCAGTTTTCCTAGATTATCATCCTCTATTAGTCCATTTTCTGTTGCTTATAAAAGAATACTTGAAACTGGGTAATTTGTAAGAGAAATGAAATTTATTTCTTACAGTTTTAGAGGCTGGGATGTCTAAGGTCCAGCGGGCACATTTGGTGAGAGCCTTCTTCCTGGTGGGGCCTCTGCAGAGTCTCCAGGAACATCCCATGGTGAGGACTAAGCAAGAGCACTTTTATGTGGTCACTTGCTTCCCTTTAAAGCCACCAGTCTACTCCCTGATAACCCATCAAACCATTGATCCAAGAATGAATTAATCCATTCATGAGGGCTAGTCCTCATGATCCAATCGCCTCTTAAAGGCCTCATCTTTCAAGTACCATATTGGGGATTAAATTCCAGCATGAGATTTGGAGGGGACAAACATTCATACCATAGCTTGTCCCATCTTCAAAAATCTGTTTTATCTATTCCTATACCAGTTCTTATACTTCTTACTGTAGAGGATTCTTAAAGCAAATGTACTTCATACAGCCTGGTTTTCTAAAGCCTTGCAGTTTCATATATTGACCTTGTGGAGGACTAGAAATTTTCCTCAGGCTATAAAGTCTCTGATGTAAGATAAAGATCTGTGGCATAGCAAGGTTGCTGGCTCAAGGACAGACTAGTTACTGATTGTTATGTAAAGATACTGAGAAATTGCTGTAAGAGGGAATGTTTGCTAAGATCAAGCTTTTGTTGGTGGATCACTTAATTGCCTTAATGGAATGTCATCTGACTTGTTTCACTGAGAGTTACCAGCTTATATTGGTAAACTGTAACCCCACTTATGTTCTCTTCCTGTAACTTCCTGGTCTGAAGAATAAATGCAGGAAGAGAACCCCAATTTGGGGTTAATCTCCTAAGGAAGGGTTGCCTCTCACTGGAGGGTCCTGGGAAAGTTAACCACTTCAGGGCTTCTCACTGCTCAGAAGTGAATGGCTTTGAGTAATCCTTTGTGGCTCCATCACCCAGGGGAAGCAGGGTGACAAATCTGTGGGGGGCAAAGCAACATCTTACTACTTCTGGATTCTTGTACTATATTAAAGCTAATGATGATGGTGATTTCCCCTCAAATTTTGACCAAAAAATCCCCTTTAAAAGCCCCCAAAGCTAAAGACTGGAAATAAGATGTAAGTTTATAACCTTCTCTCACTAAAAGTGGATGACACCTAAAACTGCTGTCACTATTTTTAAAAGTCCAAGATAGTTTTGGGAAGAGGGAATTTTGGAGTCTCACGGGCCATCTAAGGGACGAGAAAGGTCTTTCCCCAGGGAGAGTTGTGGGGCTGATTGTGTAGTACTGAGCTATACTTGGAAAAAAAACCTCTAGTTTTTACAATATTTCCATGGATACCAGGATATTTGCATTAAAAATCAGAAAAAGGAAAGAAGAGAGTCATATGCAAGAGGTAAGAAGATCTCTTTTCTGAATTGTCTGGTATTTACTAGGCTTTGATCAGAGAAATTGAAAGCCTACCATACTGGACGTGNTGTTGTTGTACTATAGTTTTCATTCATTTCAAAGTGTTTTCCAATTTCCCTTGTGATTTCTTCTTTACCTAGTGGTTATTTAAGAATGTGTTGTTTGGGCCGGCCCAGTGGCGCACTGGAGAGTGTGCCGCTTGGGAGCGTGGCGGCACTCCCGCCGAGGGTTCGGATCCCATGTGGAGACCGGTTCCCGCTCACTGGCTGAGCGCAGTGCGGATGCGACACCGAGGGTTGCGATCCCATCGCCGGTCCCCGGTACGGGCAAGACACCGAGGGTTGCGATCCCGTTACCGGTCAGTAAAAAAGAGACAAAAAGGAAAAAAAAAAAGAATGTGTTGTTTAGTAGCGCCATATTTGTGAATTTCTCAAATTTTCTTCAGCTGTTTATTTCTAATTTCATTCCATTGTGTTTGGAGAACATACTTTGAATGATTTTAATCCTTTAAAATGCATTATTTTATGGCCTCAAATGGCTTTTTTTCAAACATTTTCTGTCTTTTTTTAAAGTTTTGAAGTTTTCTTTACAGAGCTCTTAATTTTCTTAGTTAATTCTTAGATACTTTATGTTTTTATTGGGAGGTTCTTATTTTATCATGTTTCTTTTTTACTAGTGTTAAGAAATGCTATTAATTTTGTAGGTTGATCATATAGCTGGAAAATGTGCTGAAGTGTTATTCTAAGTTTGACTATTGATTTTGTCAGTTTTCCTAGATTATCATCCTCTATTAGTCCATTTTCTGTTGCTTATAAAAGAATACTTGAAACTGGGTAATTTGTAAGAGAAATGAAATTTATTTCTTACAGTTTTAGAGGCTGGGATGTCTAAGGTCCAGCGGGCACATTTGGTGAGAGCCTTCTTCCTGGTGGGGCCTCTGCAGAGTCTCCAGGAACATCCCATGGTGAGGACTAAGCAAGAGCACTTTTATGTGGTCACTTGCTTCCCTTTAAAGCCACCAGTCTACTCCCTGATAACCCATCAAACCATTGATCCAAGAATGAATTAATCCATTCATGAGGGCTAGTCCTCATGATCCAATCGCCTCTTAAAGGCCTCATCTTTCAAGTACCATATTGGGGATTAAATTCCAGCATGAGATTTGGAGGGGACAAACATTCATACCATAGCTTGTCCCATCTTCAAAAATCTGTTTTATCTATTCCTATACCAGTTCTTATACTTCTTACTGTAGAGGATTCTTAAAGCAAATGTACTTCATACAGCCTGGTTTTCTAAAGCCTTGCAGTTTCATATATTGACCTTGTGGAGGACTAGAAATTTTCCTCAGGCTATAAAGTCTCTGATGTAAGATAAAGATCTGTGGCATAGCAAGGTTGCTGGCTCAAGGACAGACTAGTTACTGATTGTTATGTAAAGATACTGAGAAATTGCTGTAAGAGGGAATGTTTGCTAAGATCAAGCTTTTGTTGGTGGATCACTTAATTGCCTTAATGGAATGTCATCTGACTTGTTTCACTGAGAGTTACCAGCTTATATTGGTAAACTGTAACCCCACTTATGTTCTCTTCCTGTAACTTCCTGGTCTGAAGAATAAATGCAGGAAGAGAACCCCAATTTGGGGTTAATCTCCTAAGGAAGGGTTGCCTCTCACTGGAGGGTCCTGGGAAAGTTAACCACTTCAGGGCTTCTCACTGCTCAGAAGTGAATGGCTTTGAGTAATCCTTTGTGGCTCCATCACCCAGGGGAAGCAGGGTGACAAATCTGTGGGGGGCAAAGCAACATCTTACTACTTCTGGATTCTTGTACTATATTAAAGCTAATGATGATGGTGATTTCCCCTCAAATTTTGACCAAAAAATCCCCTTTAAAAGCCCCCAAAGCTAAAGACTGGAAATAAGATGTAAGTTTATAACCTTCTCTCACTAAAAGTGGATGACACCTAAAACTGCTGTCACTATTTTTAAAAGTCCAAGATAGTTTTGGGAAGAGGGAATTTTGGAGTCTCACGGGCCATCTAAGGGACGAGAAAGGTCTTTCCCCAGGGAGAGTTGTGGGGCTGATTGTGTAGTACTGAGCTATACTTGGAAAAAAAACCTCTAGTTTTTACAATATTTCCATGGATACCAGGATATTTGCATTAAAAATCAGAAAAAGGAAAGAAGAGAGTCATATGCAAGAGGTAAGAAGATCTCTTTTCTGAATTGTCTGGTATTTACTAGGCTTTGATCAGAGAAATTGAAAGCCTACCATACTGGACGTGTTCTGGAATTCCAGGCTGTCTCTTCGACTATAGGCTGCAAAGTTTTGGCTTGCCATACTGGACCAGTTTTGGCTTGTCCTACTGGACTGAGTTTGCCAAGGAGATAGATCTACAGCTGGACCAACAGAAGCACTGAGAGAGGAACCCTGTCCTTGTAGCTGGGGCCTTGTGGGTGAGAGATACTGATATAGACAGTGGAAGGAAGAGCTGCATATCTCTTCCTCATCAGGAAAACTGTACAGTTCTATGATTTGGGCTATGTCATAGGCATCAGAGTACAAAGCAGGAACTGAGGCCACTAGCCTCTCCAACTGAGGATCTTGCATTTGAAAATCACTTGTGGAACTTCCAGTGAAGATAGAGTCCTGGGCCTGACTGGAAGGGCCTAAGGTCTGAGGAGAGAGGGAGCTATAGAAATCCAAAACCACAGGAAAAAGAGAATAAGGATTGGTGGATGTGCTCGGTGAGATGGGCATATTCTTCCTGGCTGAAAGGAATTGTTCTGGTTGTTTTAGTGATTGCTGCTGTTGCTGCTGCTGCTTCCTCAATTTGAATCGCCTGTTCCTGAACCAAACCTGGGAATGGAGAAAAGGGGAGATTGTGGTCTGTTTATGAAGAAGGCGTTTGAGGCTTCTCATATGTGAAAACAGCCAGATTATAACCCTCCTGTCCTCTCCAAGTTATGATGACACTGGGTTCTGAGACAGCAGAGGTGGGCATGGGTGAAGTCAATACAGGGGACAATGAGGATCAGGACTGGACCACAGAGAAGGGAAAAAAAAAAAAAGAAAAGGAGTATGTTTGAGAGGTTGCACTGGGGGTTCAGAGAAAGGGTTGTGAACCCTATAGAGGCTAGTTCAGAGATCTAGGGAAAAGTGGGGAATTCGAACTGAAGCATTTTCAAGGATAATTTTAGGAGGCCTCTGCTATGAGCAATACTCCCAACAAAAATTCTACGGGCCTTAGCAGACCAGGAGGTTGGAGGAGTTGTCTGTTGGTAGTGTTATGAATGAGTAGATTGCAGGGTTTTGCTTGAGAAGACTCTGAGTGAAGAGTCTGTCTTGGTGAGAGCCTTTCCTCTATTTGAGCTCTGCAGTACAACAGTTAAGAACAAGACTTCTGGAGTTTTAATCCTAGTGATACAACTTCTTATCTCTGTGACCCAGTCACTTTGCCTCTGAACCTCACTTTTCCTCATCTTTTAAACTGCATAATAGCACGAACAATGCCTGCTAACGTACGCATTGTTCCCAGTTCAGTAGGTAGCCAACAAATGTTATTTTAGGGAGGGAATTTCCAAGCTGAATAGTAGAATGTGTTTTGGATGGGGTACCAAGCCCACCCCAGGGGATCAGACCTTCACTCTTGACTCCAACAGGTTGAGTTTCAGAGCTAGTTTCTTCTGGAGATTTTTATCTGGGAACATGGTCTGGCTAAACAGAGCCTCCAACTCTTCATACTGTTTGTGGGTGAATGTGGTACGTTCTTGATGCTTCTTCCATGTTGCTGTAGGGCAGAGATAGAGAGGGAGTGGTTATACTTACACTACCACCACTCCTCACCAAGAAACAAAAACAAAAACAAAACATCCCCAAAACTCCCCAGAATCCACAGTTGTAAATCTCCCATGCCTCCCCTCTAAACAGGTTTGGTATCCAGAAAACACAGAAGATCCCAGGTCTTGACTCTGCATGGCCGAAACCTGTGTGGCAGTGTTCTGTCCTCTGCTCGCTGAGATTTTAGGTTGTCCCCGCCCTGCTAGAAAATGGGTTACCTCTTTAACTTTCTCTGTACTCTGTCTGTTCACTCTGGAAACTGGTTCCATTGAGTTTCAGTTTGCTCTCCACTGAAAACAGTATTGTTTTACCCTTTTTCTCTGATACTCAGTCTTTCTACCCTATCTAACCTCGGGACAGTAGACAGTGGACAGTGGCTTCCCTCTTCTCATCTTCTTTTTCACACTTTGTTTCTTGTAGAAACTAGGAGGAAACCCCATGTCTCTGCACCTGAGTATGACACACTCTTCAAAATGGGTTTCCTCTCTTCACTCATTTATTCAGGAACCCAGTTTATCTCATCTGTCAAAAGGACTTTTAAACTTTTCTAGGCTTTCTGAGGCTCTGTTCACTCCTTTGGGAAAAGGGTCATAAGAAATGAAACATAAAAGGGCCGGCCTGTGGCTCACTCGGGAGAGTGCGGTGCTGACAACACCAAGGCCACGGGTTCGGATCCTATATAGGGATGGCCGGTTTGCTCACTGGGTGAGTGTGGTGCTGATAACACCAAATCAAGGGTTACGATCCCCTTACTGGTCATCTTTTTAAAAAAAAAAAGAAAGAAAGAAATGAAACATAAGGGGATGGCCTGCAGCTCACTTGGGAGAGCGTGGTGCTGTCAACACCAAGTTGTGGGTTAAGATCCCCTTACCGGTCATCTTTTAAGAAAAAAAAAAGAAATGAAACATAACTAAATACGTGGAGAAGACTGAAAGATTATAATCACAGCTCTGTTCACAATAGTCAAGATATGGAACAAATCTAAATGCTTAACAACAGATGATTGGATAAAGAAAATGTGGTGTACAATGATAGGCTGAACTTTCAGAAGGAGAGAACAGAACTTTGGTTACTAGAGATGGGAAAGGGGGAGTTCGTGAAAAATTGGTTAATGGACACAAAGAATACTTACATTTAGTAATGATGTATATGCTAATTATCCTGATTTGATCGTCACATATTGTACACAGATATTGATATTCAACTCTGTACCCCACAAACATGTATAATAATGTTCCAATTAAAAAAAGAAAAATGGTACATGTACACAATGGAATACTACTCAGCCATAAAAAAGAATGAAATTTCACCATCACAGCAACATGGGTGAGCTTGGAGAAAATTATGTTAAGTATGATAAGCCAGGCACAGAAAGACAAATGTTGTATGTTCTCACACATATGGGAACTAAAAAAGAGAACAAAACAAAACAAATACAAGTAAACAATTACAATAATAAGTTGAACTGCTGAAAGGAGAAAGAAATGTGGTTACTAGAGGCAGGAAAGGGGAGTGGGGAGTGGGGATAGTGAGAGGCTGGTTAATGGACATTAAATTACAACTAGATAGGAAAACTAAGTCCTATCGGTGTACGGTGGACCCCGGAATCTATAATTAACAATGATTTACTGCATGTTACCAAACAACTAGAAGAGAGGAGGTCAAATGTATACATCACAAAGAAATGATTGTTTTGCAATGATGAATATGCTAATTGCCCTGAATAGATCATCACACGTGGTACGCATGTATTGAAATATAACTCTGTACCCCATAAATATGTACAGTCAATATGTTTCAATAAAAAAAAATTTTTTTTAAAGAAAATCTACAGAATATTTTTTCAAATGGCAATGGAGAGAGAAATGTTTTCTAAGAAAATGTAATTGCCAAAATTAGCTTTAAAAAAACCTATAAGCTTTGTGCAATGGTGGAATCATAGCCAATGAAGTTGATCTGAGGTGCAGTAATTGCTAACTGAAAAAAAACAACCAAACCCTATAGACCCTGAATAGACGAATAACCACACAAAAACATAGGTAAGTTATGGAACTAAAGGTAATGCTGTGCTAAATCTTCTGTTTATATACCCACTTCAATAAAAGGAGGAAGGGTCTTCTCTTGAGCTTTACTTCTTGTACTTAAAGTCCATAATACTGATACTAAAATCAGGCAAGAATAAACACTATAAAAAAATCTATAGGTTAATGCCAAACATATATGGATAACCTATATAAAATATATTTAATTGCATTTTAGATTAACATATTCCTAAACTTACAGTATTGAATTTATTCTTGCAGTTCATATATTTTTGAAATTGAATATATAAAACATTAATTTTATTAATAAAATTATTTTATTCAAATTATTTGCATTTATCATAAATAGCCATATATTCATCAACACTTTGAGCCTGTTCTTTTAATTATATAACATAGTTTTACCAGGCACATAATCTTTACTTTCAAATAAGTTGTTCGTGATACAGTACATTGAGAATGTGTTTATGGAATGTTATCACTGGGAATTTTGTTCTAAGCCATGAGAAATTTATTTATATAATATTAAGATAACTGCTTTGCCCCCACATTCATCTTACAGGAGTGTATTAGTGATTTCCACAACCTACTTACTATCTGTTGCTTTAAAATAAGAAATCGATCTATTCATTTATTTGGATACACAATACATGCACATAGCACAAAATTGAAACCATCTCTGTTCCTCAGCCACACAATTACTCTGTAGAGCTGTTCTGTTCAATACAGTAGTCACTGCCCAAATGACTATTAAGCATGTGAAATGTGGTTAGCTCCACTGAGATTCTGAATTTTTAATTTTATTAAGGCTTAACTAATTTAAATTTAAAAACTGGTACTTGATCCAGTTATTGGGAAACTTTTTTAGTATGCTTGGAACAACTTGGGTATGTGAATCTACTTTTCAACTGTAAATTTTTTTCTTTTTTTTTCCTTTTTGTCTCTTTTTTCGTGACCGGCAACGGATCGCAACCCTCAGTGTCGCGCCCGTACCGGACCGGGACCGGCAACGGGATCGCAACCCT